AATAATTAGTATTAACAAACTGATAAGTTTATTATGTGGGCTGTTCCAAGAATATCCCCAGGAATGTTGTTGATGTCACGATGACTACTGGCACTGTTCTAGTTTACATTCCCCACATTTTGTCAGTCAGTTTTACAGAGGTGTTTATATTTAATATTACTGTCACTAATGATTAAAGGCTTCTTTTTCTTGTCCCTGGTAACTATGTTTGGTTTGTTGGCACTTTCTTTCATTTCTTCGTCTGTTTATATTGGATATCCTACGGGATTTCTTATTCCCATTTACTCTATCTGGTTGGTGTTCATACCAGTTTTCTGCTGTCTTTTCTTGTAATGTCTGAAAATCTTCCAGTGCAAGTATGTAGCAGCCCTGTTGTGTCTTTCAATGTTATCTGTCTTTTTGATAATTCAGGGTATCCCGATACAATACGCTAAGGATACTTGCCATGCATTTCCCTTTCTTCCCGGGCAAGGCGTTTGGCATTTTTTTAAAAAAATCTTGTATTTCATATTTTGTAATTCCATCAATTAGTTGGATTTCATTGGTCATTCCAAGCTGTTTACAAACGCTTGAAAGGTATGTGTCCAGGCCGATGGTGGTTGTGAACATTTCTAGCTGGATCCTGCCTCTCACTTCTATCGTTCATTGCAGGAAAAGGCGGTTCTTATTAGATTGTGTGTGTTCTATGCTATCTGCTTCATTGATTCCTAATTACTCTTCCGGGTATTTGATGGCTGTGTCAATGTCAATACTTATGTTGTCAACTTGAGTCAATCTCCCCATTTGAAGGTTCCCTTAGTATATATATTTATTATGTCAGCATCCTTTATTATGTTTTTGTCATATTACCTCAAATCCTTCAAATAGAAGTGTGAATGGAATCATGGGAAAAATCTGTGTGCATTGTCGTGGAAGGACAATTTGAATCTACCAGGTGTGCTTGTGATTTCCATAACGAAGGAATTTTACAACTTTGAGAGGATAATTGAATTCTACCAGGTTTGCGTGTGATTTACATAACAAAATATATGTTTATGATCTACTGACTTGCCTACGTGAGACAGCTGCTGGCAAAACCACATTCTGATTGGATCATGTGGTAACCCAGGTGGTGTCCCTGAATCTAGGTCATGCCTATAAATTGGACAGACTGAGGACAATTGTCTCCATCATTCCTATTGAGTACCCTGTGTGTTCCTGCTGAGATATTGTGAGACAAGTGATACAAGTTTCAATCCTCATTCTGTGAGAATTGAAGGAACTGCTCTGCGATCTCCTGCTTTCAGCGGTGTCCTCCAGAATAACAACGTTCCTCTGCAAGCAAGACACCTGTGTTTCTTCTTCGTTGTGTTGAAGAAGCCATTGACTGTTATTCATTATACATCCTGGAACTGTGAGTTATCCCCAATGCACACTTCCCTAATTCATTGTATGTGTATGTGTTTTGTTCCTTACACTCATTTTGAGAGGTATTAGAGCCAGCAGCTTTAACTTGATATTTTGATGTATGTGTATTAAATTTCCAGTACTATTGTCTACCCCATTCCAGCAGTAAAAGAACCCCCTGTCCAGTGAGTTCTGTGGTGCCCTCTCATGAGCAATAAGCAGGCCTTATACTGTTACATTCTGGTGCCAGAAGTGGAATTGTGATTCTAATTCTGGTTGTGTTTGGGACTCGGATTCGGTATTGATTCTGATTTTGATTCATCATCGATTTGGATACTATTATTTTGTCTACCTCTTTATAGGAGTGAAAGAACCTGCTGTTCAGTGTGAGTTTTGTGGGTACCCCTCTCAGTAGCAATAAACAGACCTTACACTGTGACATATTATCAGATAAAGATACACCATGGAATGCCATCAAGCAATATTAACTCTCTGGGAGTCGGGATAATTCTGAGAAGGCCCCATACACAATTACCTTGAAATATACGCTTACATGCAATTGGAAGCTGACAAAAGTGTTGTATCTCCGAAGTGATACTCATTACAATAATCTGTATTGTTGTTAGTAGTGCAACTGTATGTAACTGGTATAAAACGTGTACACGGATAACTTCATACAGTAATGCTTTCTTGATGACTCAATCAGGATATCAATCGAACATCGTACAATGTGCACTACTAATAAAGTACGTCAGGAAGTAGTTGATTCGTATTTGTTCTCAACATATTATATATAAAAACTCCAAACACTATTGATTAAAAATTAATTACACACAAATTGCAAATGACAAAGGCACTTTCAATACTTACCTTCATCTCGATTTCGCCTCGGCACGTAAGATAAAATGACCCGAACGATTTCAATATCTTGTGTGTTTCCCTGCTAAGGTGGATTTTCAGAGCTGAAATGAGACGAACATAGCAAACCATCTTGAGAAGTCTATATACAAACCGGCTGATAAATGGGATGTTTCAAGGTCAATTGTACAGGACGTAATACGCGTGATTATGTTACAAGTGTAAATTAGTCTTTGTATTTGGTGTAAAATCGTCGCAATGAATCAAAATGACTTAGTTTAAAGATTCCACATGTTTTGAGTTGCTGAAGCACTGATGTAGGTCGAGTCTTTTATGTGCGCAGTTTTCACCAGCCGCATGTATCTGCGTCATGGCACGTTTATCCAACGAGCTAGCGGTGTTTAGTGACGTATTACTTATATTCAATGTGGCAGAACTGTGAATAAACAAGAAAATGGACAGATACTTCGAAATATAGCTCTCTTTCATAAAAACGTTGCAATAAGTCATAGTCAAACTAAAATAAAATCATTATTATATTGTAATCAGGGTACCGGGTTGGTAAATTACAATAATGCAGAATTTTCAATGCATTTTGAATAGAAATTATTTCTCAATTTATATAGTTTACGCATAATATACATACAAATAATATTATATTACATAAACGAATATTGTCTCGTTGCAACATGATTACTTAACGATGATTTTAATCAAATTGGCTATAACACTCCGCAATTTAAATGGCGAACGTTTTAAAATTCGTGTAGGGCAAATCTCTTTTTATATCAAAATAATTGGATTAGAAATGTAACTTAATTAATTATTAATTATTATACATTAACCTATTTATAAAATGGAAAGTCCAGCAAGATTGTCGTTCTGAAGTCGGTTGTGTTACCAGCCTTTAATACACTCAAATGATACCAAACCATATATCAGGCCACCGTAAAAGTTCCTGTCTTTCTCCTTTATTTTGTTATCAAGCGTTACTTAACACTCAATTGTCTTGATGTTTTATTAATTCGATATTGATTGTGAGTTTTCTATTGGCAGACGCTCAATACAACGACTATACCCACAATATGTCAATTACAACTGTATTTGCATATGCGCAGGACTACTTGGCTAATCTAAGTGATTACGATAATCACGTGGTCCATGGCCCTTCACCTTCAAAGAAGAAAAGCGATGTCATTCTAGGTCGTCGTCGTCGTCATTCGGTCGTCTTGCTTAGTATTTGTATACCAGCAACATGTATCTCCAGGCGTAGCCGTAAGCAAACCAACTTATGTAAACACATTGCACTGTATCTACCGATTGTACTGTAACTATATCGTGTAGTCTGAAATTTCCTCAACAAGAGAGCAAACAAAAAGACTTACAACTTCGTGATAGTTGTTTGGGGGTATAATATATACAAAGATGTCCAATTTACTCACTTATAACACATCTGGTCAATATTGCGTACATAAAACACCACCAATATAGCGTAAAATATTTAAATGAAAGATAATCTATTTCATTATAAATTTCTACGATCGAGTGAAAATGCCAAAAACTCAGATACAAATATTGCAAAATTACTGTTCGTCTATTGGCTCTGTCTGTTGCCCGTGGGGGGGGGGGTAACTGATGGGTTAAGAATATATGTATATATGAGGGGTGCAAGTTTTTAAGCCATATAAAAACTTGATCAGATGTATCCTTGAGTACTAGATATAATTAGATTGTATGACAAGGTATAGTATAAATAACGTATAGTATTTGGTTATCAGTTGAGGAACAAGGTTTGAGGCCGCATACATTGACTACCTGAACGCATATGAGCGCCCTTCTCCCACCCCGCACAATTGCATCGATATTAATCCCACTTCACAACTAAAGTAATATTACAAATTGTATCATATATATGGTGGCCCATGCTTATAACATTAAAAAGCGGATTTAATTATGAAAAGTGTCAAAATTAATGCAAAACGCGTTTAGTATAATTTAGTACTGTGGTATTACATTAGTCAGATTAAAACAAATAAATTACTCACGTAGGCCGTTTGACTCCATTCTAGAAGCAGTGTTCACTGTGTCCCCAAAGAGACAATAGCGAGGCATTTTGAGACCAACAACACCCGCACAAACCATACCTGTCAAAACAAATTAATAAGATGGATATCAGTGTTTAACATATAATTTTATAACTATTTGTGCGTTTTAGCCGTCGTATAATAATTAATAAAATACGTATATGACCATCAAATGTAATGTGATAGCGAACGAACTTGGCGTCGCAATATTACCTACCTGAGTGTATTCCAATGCGTAGTTTCAACTTCTCTTCTGGTTTATGTCTAATTTTGAATGTCTTGACTGCTTCTAAAAGGGCGAGCGCCATACGCCCTATCTCTCTAGCATGGTAATCACCATTACGAATAGGAAGACCCGATACAACCATATAAGCGTCACCAATTGTCTCAACCTGTATTCAAGCAGAGTCACACATGTAAATGTACAGATGTTGCATCGTGAAATTGTAAGCGGTGCTCTCATTGGCTGAACTTCAATAGATCTCATAATGCAAATCTGAATCAGCGACTCTGTCCCCTGCTCATTGCTCATTGCTAAATGCTGATTATCGGGAACAAATCTGAAAACACCAAACGAACGGGTTTTGATGATTTTATTTAACGTTTTTATTGGAGTATTTAATACACCAGTGGTTTTTGTGTAATCCAAAAATTTTGAACATTTGCCCCTTACTTTAGTGCAGAGCGATACAAACTGTGTTCACAAGTGTACATATATAATGTTGGTATTTTATGAACAATTATAAAAAAACTATTAGCACAAACTTTGGGGATATGTGCGGAATATCTCGTTAGATTTTGCAAAGTGTTACCTTGTAAACATGAAAGTTGTCAATAATTGCATCAAAACATGTGTATAGATCATTTAGTAGAGCGATAACCTGAAAAATAAAAAAAATGTGATGTAATATAGACACGGATATGAAATAAATAAAGCAACGGACGATATAATACATAAACAATTTTCATAATTTCTCTCCCCATAAACATTCTCAAAAAAAAAAAAGTTTCCAGAACTTGTAAAATGTATGACTTGAATCAAATATATAAATCAGACATGACTTGTACCTCCATGGGAGTACTGGAGGCAGAAAGAGCTGTGAATCCCACGATATCACTGAAAAATATAGTAACACTGTCGAAGGCTTCAGCTTGTACAGCTTCTCCCCTCTTCAACTTTTCAGCTACGGGTCTGGAGTTAAATAAAAGAATGTGTGTAAAATTATGATAATGCATTACATTTTTCATATGGCCCAGTAGCTAAGTATTTAACACGTAAATATAATCAAGCTATATCAGGGGTTTTCTTGCATTGTATGCAGGAAGCTTACTTTGGCAAGACTTGATATAATAACTCTTCGGCTCTTCGCTTTTCTTCGTAGAATGCCTCGGTTCTTTCTTCAACTAGACTTTCGAGATTATTTGCATATTGTTCCATACGTTGAAGCAAGTTATCAAGTATATTCCCAGTTGCGCTTCGACTGCAGAGCAAAACATGATACACCATATACCTGAGACATGTTAACTCGAGTTCAAATTCATACTGTGTGCAAACAATTCAAAGAACTTCTCTGACCACGGTTTGTTTTGATGTACTTGACTGATAAATGGTCAAGCCTGAACCTGTTGGAAACTCCAAAACGCGATAACTGGATGAGATAAAAAGATTGACGATAGAAGCGCAAATCCTGACGTTGACGATAGTTGTTCGCAACTGGTATTAACAAATATTGTTATCGAAATATTTGATATATATCCAAACAACAACACTTCCAAATATATCTACACTCCTCCGAATAGTCGACATCATTGTTATCTTTATTTTATACATCGCAGATTTGTGTGATTCGGGATTCAATAGGCTCTCCTTGTAGAAAACGTTTATTGACCTACTTGTTTATTTTTCTCATTGTGGTCCTCAGTGAGTTGAAATCTGGTCTTTCAGCTTGGTCCTGTGACCAGCATTTCTCCATTACGGGATACAGCTCTTCCGGACAGGTGGATTTATCTACGCTTGGTCTAAAATACGGTTTATTGCTAGCTCTGACCTTTTGTACTATTTCTGAAAATAAAGAAATATACACCATCCCCAACATTAGACCTCTGCATACTCTGTGGGGTGAAAGGGGTAATTATGTGCTGTAATATTCGTTCTGGTACGGAGGCATTGCTACTTCTGTTCACATCTAAGTGTCGGAGAATGATACAGTGCATGAAACGCACTATAGAGTTTCCCAGAATTCAACTTGAACGGGTCGCTACGAAAGGGTGTGCGTTAATATATCTTCATTCTCACACCGATAACAAGCGAGAAGAGAGACGACTAAATTCTAAGCAAGAGGGTTTGGGAAAACAATATGTTTTAATTATAGTAATTTGTTCAAACTATTCTTTTCTCAAAATAGTATTCGTACTAGTTTTAATATGAGAATTCAATAGCATACTAATTATCATTAAAAACGTATGCACGTAAATGTGGCTACAACACGTCCAATATATTCTTTATCACTATGAATAAATGCATTGTTGATTATTCAATTGCAATTCTATAGCATTATATCACCGTCATGACCCAGCGACGGAAACAAAACAAAAACGTTTCAAATGGCTAATGAAAACAATATACCATGCGATAATGAGTACGTATGTATAGTCCAGTACTATGGTTAGATACGTAAACTGACTACTGCCCTCAATATACCATGTGATACTGAGTACGTATGTAAAGTCTAGTAGTATGGATAGATACGTAAACTGACTACTGTCCTCAATATACCATGTGATACTGAGTATGTATGCAAAATCTAGTAGTATGGATAGATGCGTAAACTGACTACTGCCCTCAATATACCATGTGATACTGAGTATGTATGTAAAGTCCAGTAGTATGGATAGATGCGTAAACTGACTACTGCCCTCAATATACCATGTGATACTGAGTACGTATGTAAAGTCCAGTAGTATGGATAGATACGTAAACTGACTACTGCCCTCAATATACCATGTGATACTGAGTACGTATGCAAAGTCTAGTAGTATGGATAGATACGTAAATTGACTCCTGCCCTCAATATACCATGTGATACTGAGTACGTATGCAAAGTCTAGTAGTATGGATAGATACGTAAATTGACTCCTGCCCTCAATATACCATGTGACACTGAGTACGTATGCAAAGTCTAGTAGTATGGATAGATACGTAAACTGACTACTGCCCTCAATATACCATGTGATACTGAGTACGTATGCAAAGTCTAGTAGTATGGATAGATACGTAAACTGACTACTGCCCTCAATATACCATGTGACACTGAGTACGTATGCAAAGTCTAGTAGTATGGATAGATACGTAAACTGACTACTGCCCTCAATATACCATGTGATACTGAGTACGTATGCAAAGTCTAGTAGTATGGATAGATACGTAAATTGACTCCTGCCCTCAATATACCATGTGACACTGAGTACGTATGCAAAGTCAAGTAGTATGGATAGATACGTAAATTGACTCCTGCCCTCAATATACCATGTGATACTGAGTACGTATGCAAAGTATAGTAGTATGGATAGATACGTAAACTGACTACTGCCCTCAATATATCATGTGATACTGAGTACGTATGCAAAGTCTAGTAGTATGGATAGATACGTAAATTGACTCCTGCCCTCAATATACCATGTGATACTGAGTACGTATGCAAAGTCTAGTAGTATGGATAGATACGTAAACTGACTACTGTCCTCAATATATCATGTGATACTGAGAATGTATGTAAAGTCTAGTAGTATGGATTGATACGTAAACTGTAATGCGTATAGACAATTTGTAACAGGATCTATAACACTTGATACGACACATGGTCGACAATACATCATATAAAATCTGCATCCGAATTCACAGTCTGCTAAAAAACATGCAGACACGTACTGTGTCATGCTGTTGTGAGTTTACTTCGTGATTATAAATAAAACAATACAATATTGAGTTCGATAAACCTCAAACAATTTAACATATGGCTTGCTTTCTCCACAGGGTATGCTTGTACTTCGCTGTTTCATTTGTATTTAAGTATGCATTGAATTAACATCATGTATACTCCACAGTGTGAAATGCAAAATAACTGTTTAGTTAAACAAAGGTTGATGACCTAACACGTGAAAGGCATTTAATTAATGCATGTATCGTAAATGTGTACCAGACCCGTGCGTCTCGGCCAAACATACACTACGTACAACGAAACATAATGGTGTGTTCGTCTCACCCGAGCATACCATATGCACAGTGATTTTGTTGAGCGTATTATTCGTAGAATGGACCTTAATGACCTGTTTGTGTATACATTAATACATTTGTACATGCAGGGAACTAAGCGTATTTGATGCTGGACTAAATTATATTACGAAACTGTCTTCGCTGCTACAAAATATTATATGGCAATTAAATATAACGCCACTCTGCAGTCGTGCGTACCTTTGGGTGAGAGGTCCATATGCGATACGTAAAATGGTCCACATCTGTGAACGACTTCCTGTAATATTATTCCAAAACTGTAAACATCTCCTTTCTGTGTACCGCCAAGTGGTGGTTCTGTCATGCGCAGTAGTTCAGGACAAGTCCACAGTTTTCCTGCAATGCAGATTGTAGTCGAACTGAATTACTAGTTGACTAACAAATATACAGCTGCTAATACATTGTTACATGTATATTTTCCCGTCATTTACATGTAAATTTATTAATACTGCTGTCTAACCCATTCATAACAGCGCGCGTATGTTCTAACTTGACGATGTAGAATTCATACCACTAATATATTTATATTGGAAATAACGATTGATTGAAACATATTTTCTATTAACAACAGTTTTGAAATATTAACATTCTTGTTTAAATTGATGAAGCCATCAATGTATATCCAGTTCTAACCAGCTCAAACGTCCACAAAAATATAAACAAAAACACAGATTTTTTCCGTCTTTTCCACTTTCAGACTATTAAGAACAAACAGTTAATCTAGTCGTCCTTATTAAGAAACAACCCTTCATGTATTAGATAACAATGCGAAGAAAAACAGCCACAAATCATTGTTTAGTAGGCACCAAATATGCATAGCGGTATGGGACGTGCATTGCTGTTCAACTGAATGCTAGTAAACTGCGGAACACTTCTCTCAATACGCTGTGACACTCTGATCAGGCAATCGTTCTCCAGCCAAGGCAATTCGCCTTATTATCTCTATTTCCATTTAACTATTTTCCAAAATCAAAAGCAGATAAAACCTACAAACATTACATCCAGATACGTGTTGTCAAATCCCATCATGCAACATGTCTTTAGTTTTATTATGAGTATGCACGTAGCATGTGCGACCTTTCCCTTGTGAATTTTGTCAGATTTTTACTTGGCGTAAATTTTTAGCGAGTTTATTCCTTGGGGTTACTAGTCATTGAAAAGTCCATAATTCATTCGTACAAATGGCCAGCAGAGAAAAAAAGCAGATTTATCGGAGTAGACGGAGTTTCTTTTTATTATGCATTAACACATTCCCCGTGTCGACTTACTTTGGTAGTATTGATGTGATTCAAATTCTATATCTTTATCTTCGTCGTCTAGTCGAAACCGATTCATTCCAAAATCAGTAACTTTCAACACAAACCTGCTATCCACAACACAGTTGGACGACTTTAGGTTACCATGGGAATTAATGTCGCTGCTATGTATGTAATGCATTCCTTTGACGAGGTCATATACAAGGGAGTAACGGAACATCCAGTCAAGTTTGATAGAGTCATTTTCTAAAATATCCTTTTCGTAACAAAAGCAAATAAAAATATTCATTATACGTTTGATTTTTCTTCTTAAAATTCCGGCTTACAACTCATTCAATGGGTATTTAGATTATAACACAATCTAGTGTCCTAGTTTAGGACAATAAATGTTCCTTTGTGTTTAGTTTTGATCTTTTGTGTCAAATACAACATCAAATAGTCTGTAAGCGTTTAAAGATAAAAATTGTGTCATACGCCGCATTGTAGTCAGTGGAAATGCATCACTTCCTATGAAACAAACAATTCAAATATCTGACAAATTGTGTACAAACATCATGATACACCTTAATATATACACTGAACTAATCACTTCTCGTGATAGCTAAATACCTGATTGCTGAAAAGATAAGGTTAAATACTTACTTGTAGGCTTCCTTTTGGGCAGTATTCTGTCACAACGCATATATTCGGTGGGTCAGTGCAAGCGCCAATGAAACGTGTAACATGGTCATGTTGCACGTCTCTCATCTACAATACAACATATACTCTGGTCAACAAGTTATTAGGAGCCTTAACAGAGACGCGACAATTTGAATGTCAATTCACAGACTAATTTTAAGCTATCTGATATCTTTATGGCAATGTAGAAACGCGAGTTAAGATGAGCAAAAGTGATTCTGCAAAGCAATGATTGATGTTGTCAGGAAATGGGACGAAGCCGTGGGCATGCATATACACATTGCTAGCACTCGGCATATCGTTCAATCATGACTGGGAACAGAGTAGTTTGTATGACGAGTTCAAATGCAATACAGATCACAACCCTCCTTAATAAATGCACATCCGCCTTCCCGCAAATGTATTCCCTAATTCAAGATTTGGGTCACGTAACGCGATTATTATGACTCAAATTTTAAATGAATTGCTTGCACTTTTGTGCGGTTTAGTTTATCTTATCAGCTTTAATCACAAAGGCAATATACATTTACTTGCCTAAGACATATCTAAGTATGAACCTTTGTTACATTTAATATGGCTGCAAATCATATTCAAAATATTGTGGAATAACAATTAGCAATTAGTGTTAGTGTTATATACAACGAATTCGTGTGTTAGTAAATTAACCAAAATTGTCGGTATTGTAGGAGTTTATTGTCGAAAGTTTTGCAAGTGAAGCGGAAATAGGTTTGTATTACTTGATTTACATGATTTTCGTTGCACTGTAAGAGCGAATAGTTCCATATTAATGAATAGAACTATGTTGGGATAATATGGCATTTTAGAAGATAGTGTGGCTCGGTAGATTATGTTAGGATAATATGGCATTTTAGATGACAGTGTGATTCGGTAGATTATGTTGGGATAATATGGCGTTTTAGATGATAGTGTGGTTCGGTAGATTATGTTGGGATAATATAGCATTTTAGATGACAGTGTGGTTCGGTAGATTATGTTAGGATAATATGGCATTTTAGATGATAGTGTGGTTCGGTAGATTATGTTGGGATAATATAGCATTTTAGATGACAGTGTGGTTCGGTAGATTATGTTGGGATAATATAGCATTTTAGATGATAGTGTGGTTCGGTAGATTATGTTAGGATAATATGGCATTTTAGAAGATAGTGTGGTTCGATATATTATGTTGGGATAATATGGCATTTTAGTAGATAGCGTGGTTTGGTAGATTATGTTGGGATAATATGGCATTTTAGAAGATAGTGTGGTTCGGTAGATTATGTTGGGATATTATGGCATTTTAGAAGATAGTGTGGTTCGGTAGATTATGTTGGGATAATATGGCATTTTAGAAGATAGTATGGTTTGGTAGATTGTGTTGGGATAATATGGCATTTTAGAAGATAGTATGGTTTGGTAGATTGTGTTGGGATATATGGCATTTTAGATGACAGTGTGGTTCGGTAGATTATGTTGAGATACTATGGTATTTTAGAAGATAGTGTGGTTCGGTAGAGTATGTTGGGATAATATGGCATTTTAGAAGATAGTGTGGTTCGGTAGATTATGTTGGGATACTATGGTATTTTAGAAGATAGTATGGTTCGGTAGATTATGTTGGGATAATATGGCATTTTAGATGACAGTGTGGTTCGGTAGATTATATTGGGATAATATGGCATTTTAGAAGACAGTGTGGTTTGGTAGATTATGTTGGGATAATATGGCATTTTAGAAGATAGTGTGGTTCGGTAGATTGTGTTGGGATAATATGGCATTTTAGAAGATAGTGTGGTTCGGTAGATTGTGTTGGGATAATATGGCATTTCAGAAGATAGTGTAGTTCGGTAGATTATGTTGGGATAATATATCATTTATATCTATCTATCGGGACACATCGTATGTACTGGAAGGCGTGTGTACTGTGCAGTCTATACTTACGTGTTTGAATTCCAACAGTATCTGTCGACTTATTTCAACTCTTCTTTTGTTGACTTTCTTGATCGCCACAACATTACTCTGTCAAAGAAAATTATTACTTGTACTTATTGTAGTTACTGTATTCCAACATAATTAGCATCGATGGAATGTATAAATGTGTCAAATCAGATTCATGGGTGAATTAAGAGACACTTAATTTGCGACACATTGATGCTAACTCCATGCAATACTATATCCTAAAATGTGGTTCACGAAACACGCGATCCCCTTCTAGACACCGATGATTGAGCGAGTTGTCATTGTTGTTTACAGAGAGGCGTTAATAAACGGATATAAACAAATAATTAGCATAATTGAACTATTCTTGTAAATTGTGAAACAGGAGGACGTGGAATAAATCACCCATTGTGTCATTATGTTCGATCTCTATATCCATCATACATGTGAAAGAGAACATCACCGGAAACATAATAAACGTTGCTGCTAACATCAATGTATCTATATTAAATATAAGCATGCTGTTACAATAGAAAACGTAATACAATTCATTTAACGTGTTGCATTATAGGATGCAGCAGCGAAAAAAAAAACGCCTGAATACTTTTTATCGGAACTATCTTGGAATTGCATTCATTTGCGCACTATCGTATCATTTTACGTTGCCATGGCTTTCAAACACGGATATTATCAAGCTTAATATAATGATTCAGTCGTCCGCTATCTGTAGATAGATTCTTCTAGTTGACTTGAGGCTCACGCACTCAGGCTATTGCAGTGAATCATAACAAAAACTGCGCGTGCTAAATTCAGCAATAAAACATTCCTATCAGTTTGCATACACAAGGTTTGGGAACACAATCATCAAACTTAATGCAATCTACCTACATTTCTTGGTCGGTATATAGGCAACAGTGTTTAATATGGACATGATGACACATGTACATTTTCAATTTTGTTTTATATGAATAATCGAATTTGTGTGACAATAAACCAACTGATTTATTACAGATGTAGCGTATGTGTTGGTGTTACCTTATACATTCCCGTTATGGTAAAAACTTGCTGGTTCATATCCCATACGGATTGTTGTGAGTGTGTGCTGGATCTCTGTAGAAAAGAAATAAATAATGAACAACATGCTTGAATCCGACATGAAATATGGGCAGGTGTAAACTAATGACGTCATAGAGTGTATGTAATCGCGAGTGTATGATATTAATCTCTCAATTCACAGAATGTCAGATGGGACACAGGAAAATTGATAGAGGAAAACCTCAGTTTTTGTACGAGTTAGCATTTATATAAATCGGGAAACAAGCGATATTTTTTTTCAAACAAAAGATACGCCTGATATGAGCGGATGAGATATCAGCAGTACAGTATATAGGTTTATGGGAACTAGGGACAAACATTCACCTTTATACGTGTGGTGCATTTAATTAAGTTGCTGAATGTATGTGCATAATTGAAAATATTATTCAGTTGAAAACTTACTCAATTGAATGTAAATTATCAAATATTTACAACAATAATAGAACCGATATCACTGAAAAACTATTTAGAACATATCACAACAATAGGGGAAGAATGGCATTTGATTTTGAACTCGGTTGAACAAAAATAATTTGCTTGATGTTCGAATATCACGGACTTAATACTTGTTGCTGCAGCTGCTTGGATATACATTGACAAATAGCTAATTAGTCTGACAACCCTGTATGTGTTTGACAAGCCAAATAACGCATGGTTGAGTGGCTGCTTCAAGTCACAATACACATTATTGAGTTGATTTAAACTATTGTGTATAGACGTGCTAATGTGTTTTTTGTTTGACGCAGTGATTTCAATTTACAAATACTCCTTGCATGTCTAACTGATCCAATAATGTCATCATAGCGTCCGTGATTTGAAGTTTGCAGACAAGTAGATGAGGAAATGAACTGGATTACCCTAGAAATTAGACTAGTATGGCTTCCCCCAATTCCTCTCCTCCTATCATTCCTGCTAAAGGTGATCTCTTCCCATCGTATCTTCCACGCCATGTCTGCCAAGGCTGCTTCCAACTTGTATTTTCTACGATAAAAAATCGACTATTACGATTTCGCAAATTGTTTTTGTTGTAATAGCGCCATCCCAAGACACATAAAATAGTCGCCGGATTGTGTGTTTGTCAGTACATTAATCAGTGCGTAGCAGCGGAAATCTATTGTGGTGCAATGAAATTTATTCATATGAATCCTTTTCAAATAATTACCCTTCACACAATGTGTTTTTTGTTCCACTTTCACAGATAATTCGACACAATTTAGATGACCAAAGATCAGTCAATCGGATTGTTATTTTTTTTTCATATTATACGAATTAGCGTGTACTCATGATAATTCAATTTCAATGTTTGAGTCATCGCGTCAGACCCCCATCAGATAATTATTATGAACAGCAACGATTGTGACACCTGCCTAAACGCAGCAACAATATAAGTTGTACAAGAATGTATAAAAGCGTACGAGAAAACATATGCGTTCAAAAAAAAGATATTTAAATTTATACGTAAATTCCTTGACGTATAGAATCACACTAACCTGTATAATAGAAACGCTATCATGGCTAAAAGAGCTATGAGGCTACCAAATACAATAGCGATGATGGCAGCCAATGACAGCGGCTCTGCAAAAATGGTTGAAAGCAATGATTATTAAATTTGAATGAAAGCAACATACTTAGTAAAAGAAATTCAAATAAAACACTTTGACATAAAAATCTTAAGATGGTTGAGAAGACGTACATGTATATAGGATTATGTTTTGTTTAATGGTGGTATTTATACAAACCTTGCCAGCCTGAAACACGTAACATAACTCTCTATAAGCTGTGATGACTAACACGGTTGGATATATTTATATAACATACATAATTGCTATGATGTCTATTTTATCCTTGATCCTACTGTACGTCAGCGCTAATAATTTGCAGTATCGGAAGATAGCTAAAGCCTCAGCGCACTGCCCAACTGGACACGCCCGACCCATTTAATCTCATCTAAACACGTCCGGGCATTGAGGGCCGTAGCTGTCTGCTTGGCACTATGACTGTTTCCTGTTTATGAGGCCGCCGCACTGAAGTGGCATTTTAGAAAATGGAAGTGTAAGAGAGTGGTCCGAAATAAACACATAGTGTGAACGTTGCAAGGAATAAATTGTAGAGATGTGGATGTGTCCAATCGCAGCAGTGTGCAACATACACTCGCCAATCACAGTCGTAAAGAATGAACCAATCTGAATCCGTCAGGTGTTTTGAGTCAATCAGTATGCGGTGAACATTAGTTAAGACAATCTTTCAACTTGAAGGTTTTCATGCTGGCATCTAGGTACATTGATTATTTATTGACTTAGTGAGTAGCGAGAATAAATTTGGTAAATTGTCACTGAAGTACTAAATGAGTAGAAGATGCCATATTAATAGCGTACAATCGTTTGTATACAACGTCTTTATCAAGTATTCGAAGCCACACATATTGCAGTATTAAATGTTCATATGTTTTATATCTTTCAAATGTTGTGTATTGGTGGGTAACTTTTTTCAGAAGTCGTGTGAAATTGTACATAATCGTTAAAGCAGTAATAGGTGTTAGTTCAAATAGTGGACACAACCATTCTTCAATAATACCAATTGCAATTTTAAAGACATTTATCAAATACTCATACAATATTAAAGTTATCCAAATACGCGATCAAGTCAAACCATTAAGTCATTGGTATGTAACAGGCAATATATTATGAATATTATTTTAATCGTGTTTTTGCTGTCTGTATCATCACATTATATAACAAACCTACTAGATCGATTTATGATGCGTTGATTCGATGAATACGAACACATACTGCGTCTAGGGCGATATAAAACATCATATTCCTGTTCCTTACAGAATGTAAGGGTATTTGTGTTACGTATTGAGGCAATCGTTGCTAGTGACTGCACAATGCTAGGTACATAATAACCATGTGATTGCGAATTACAAAAAGTTGAACGACAACAACGGTTATTTTGTTCTATATCACACAATACATACTTGTAATATGATTGGAGTTGTCATGTACAGTGTTTACCTTTCTCCACGCACAGTTCTCCTTCAAATCCACACACTGGTACGTCGTCAGGAGGCATAGATCCGGGCCAGTCGATTTTAACTCCAGCGACGGGTTCGTATACCTTGCGGGTTCCGTAATAGTTAGCAATAACCTGACAGCAAACAAATACATATTGTAAGTGTTACACATGGCGAGATGGAAGTTATGTACACTCTCACACGACATGAATAATTAATTCAATATTTTTCTACTGCAGGATTCATTATTAAATTGTAAATTGTTTAGAAATGACTTTCACTGTAATGTCAAGTTTTGTTTTGTGACGTTAATTCTTATGTAATGATCGATATTATCGACTGTGCGATAATGCATGAACCAATCGATCATTGTATTATGACGTCATAGCAGTATCGTTATACGACTACCAAGTTCGAAAAGAAGCCGCGTATCTTCATCTATCTACACATACCACGTAATACGGAGAAGTGATTATGAGACACTCTTGATCAAGCTCTACTTGCAATAATCGATGCTACGCAAAGTAATCAAATATCTCATTTGGAAAATTTTATTACTGCTCACTCGCACAGTATTGGGTATGATTTAAATATTTATAATTCACCCCTCTCATAGTACAATATTATATACATAATTGACTTTAACACTGATGAATTAAATTCGAAGAAAGAAAGGCTCTTCTTCAATCTAGTGTGATTGGCAGTCAGCGACAGTTATATTTAGAATACAAATTGTTTATCAGTAAAAAGCCGGAGGTAATAGTGTGTGGAATGGTGTGTATTATACCATGCGATGCCAGCACACTAATGGGAAGGCGTGATTTTTTCTCACTTTGTAGCAATGTCTGCGTGATATCAAAAAGACAGAAATGAAATCCCAACAATTCATTTGGAAACTTAATCAAAAGGAGCTTTCTAATTACCCAGAGTTAAGATATATAAGTTTCTTACAAATAACTACAAATTACATTTGAGCTCCGTGCTGAGGCTATTTTCTCCAGTTCCCTGTTTATCTATAATGATGATGTCGAATGGATCGGCACAATAATTTTCAGTTTCTAAAGTGCCCATTAAATGTATTCCTAGCTCTGCTCAATAAGAAATAATGAATGCCTAGGCAAGCCTTGGAATTAAAAACTGTCGCCAATACTTTTTACTTTGATTACTATGCATATGTTGGCGGATGTTACAGTATACTTTATTGAGATGAGTAAACATTGAATTAGATATAATAATGCAATATATCCAAAATATCGGAATGAACAAAGTGCAATTATAGATTATTAGATATTTTATTTTATAAATTAATCAAAATGGAAACTTTATTTATTCACACTATACCAAACCTCGTATATCACAATGAACCTGCTCTTATGTATTCAGCAATCCGATTTTAAATTAAACTATTTGTTATTGAAATTTGCCCTTCGTTTGATCACCTCAATATGCAAATATATATAGCATAACAAATTTATAAGGTGAGGAGAGGGTCGTTTATTACTGGCCTAATGACTTTTATATTATATGGGATCATCATAACGACATTTTCATTATTTGCATTGTTGTTTCGTAGTAGTTTGTTAAACAAGTTGTTTATGCTACACAAGTAAATCATCTTTTTGAAAAACTAATGAACGATGTGAATATGATGCAATACAACTGATAGTGCGTACCAGATACCATATTCGATTGCGCGATTGCACATTGCAATATTCATTATTTGGTATAATAGAATGTATTTCTAATCAATAGCAGCCTCGAAATACAAAAATCAAAGTTTTTCAGTTTGTGACAACACTGTGGTGATGTGAAAATGCAACGAGCAACATGGCAATATAACAGCTACATCATAATAGTTACTGAGGTCTAGATATGTGATGCTAATGTACGTAAACATAATAGTTACTGAGGTCTAGATATGTGATGCTAATGTACGTAAACATAATAGTTACTGAGGTCTAGATATGTGATGCTAACGTACGTAAACATAATAGTTACTGAGGTCTAGATATGTGATGGTAATGTACGTAAACATAATAGTTACTGACGTCTAGATATGTGATGCTAATATACGTAAACATAATAGTTACTGAGGTCTAGATATGTGATGTTAATGTACGTAAACATAATAGTTACTGAGGTCTAGATATGTAATGCTAATGTACGTAAACATAATAATTACTGAGGTCTAGATATGTGATGCTAATGTACGTAAACATAATAGTTACTGAGGTCTAGATATGTGATGCTAACGTACGTAAACATAATAGTTACTGACGTCTAGATATGTGTGATGCTAATATATGTAAACATAATAGTTACTGAGGTCTAGATATGTGATGC